TAAATATAAATAGGATGCGTTCTCCGAAACTCAACCGGACAACCTTTCTGTCCCCGAACTCTACGTACAGTTTTTCAATAAGAAAACGCTAGTTTTCGCGGAAACGAGTCTCACAGAGACTTAAGCGAGCATTAAGAGCGCATGGATGGTGATTGAAGAAAATTACGTTGCATCATTTATTTGTGCGGACGTCAAGATGTATTTCGTCGTGCTTCCTTACGCGGGGCAAGCACAATTACTTCTTTCATGACTTTACGGAATGCCGCGCGGTAAGTGCGCCACTTTGCCTCCTTGTCCGCGACTTATTGCGACTTCGCTTAAGTTCGCCGGGACAAAGTACGCAAACTTTCGTTTTACGGGGTTTAAAACAGGGACGTTGTCAAATTGCGTTTCGCCGGGCTAATTTTTCAAGCGTACGCGGCGGAGCGATGAAGTTCGAAATGACGCGGCGCGGCGCTGCGGTGATAACTTTCCGAAAATTGTTACGATTAACAGGGCAAAGAAATGTCCCGTCGAACGATGATATCATATGTCGGAATCCTTTAAAGGATAATGCGAATAATTTCGAGGTGGATCGGAAACACACGCAAATCAAGTTATTCACGTTGTATCCCGCGCTTGAGCACAAATTGCATTATAAACTTATAAACTAGATTTAATAAACTATACGCGGAATTTGTAGCTTGTTCCGTTTAAATATCCAGCGTTGAAAAGAGGGTAAAAGTTGACTTTAGAATTCACGAGTTTAGTCTCGCGCGCTTTTACTTGATGAAAAATCCAAGATGATTACTTTTGCTTTACTTGAAAGGGGATTTTCAGGACGCGGCGAAAGAATAGTGAGCGAAAGCGCGGCTGTTATCACTATAATACGTATTCAGCTATCTTTTGCAAGCTTATCCCCGTGCGGAAGGAAGCATCGTCGTCCCTACTAGCTTATATATGAAAAATTTAGGCTCTTATCGATAGTACTCGTGTCGAATGCTCTCCCATGTAATGACATCGTGTATTATCCTACTAGGAGAGGATAATGTCTCGAATAAAGCAGAATAATTATCTGATTCATCTCGTTATAGGTATACATATACATGGCTCATTTTGATCGTTAAAAAAATGCACCATTTGAGACGAACAGAAAATAATTATAGAAAAAACTTTATTTTAGAAATTTTTGTAGAAATTGATTGCAGGCAAACAACGGTTATTTTGTTTTAAATAATATTTAAATAAATAAATACGTCCTTTCTCTGCATAGAAAAAATATATGCGAATAACGGTATATAATCACAAACAATATTCCTATATAGCAAAAATATTTGAGTTTTTATTAGAAATATAGCAGAGAATAATCGCTCAAAAAACACGAAATTAAGTACGATGAACGAAGAGAGATATAAATAAGAGTAAACGAAGTGAACGAAAGCTGCTTAAGATAGCGTTTATATAGGAAAAGAAAGTGCAAAGCGTAAGGCAAAGCGTAATGCAAAGCGGAAGGTACTTTCCGTGAACGCGGAGACGAATACTTTTGGCAAATTTTCACCTCCACTAAACATCCTCTAGTGCTTTATAATTTATACTTAAAATTATAACAAAAGCATATAAACGGAGTAAAAATAATTAAATAATTAAATAAATTTGTTTTGCTACAATTCCTATATAGTGACTTAATATTACTATTATTTGCTATATTATTTGTTAAAAAAAACATTTTGCTATTGTCACAACAAAATAGTGTAGTATAATTAAATGTAAAGGTAATGCAATATTGTTTATTAAATATGTATTTTGTTTCTTTTTGAATGTTGTAAAACAATATCTAATGGATGTGTATTCATTAAACGGAGCAAGCCATGGGAAAATAAAAATATTGCGCTCGAGGTAAAAAGAGATATAAAAAGAGAAAAGATAATAATGGTGTCATAACATGGACGCTGCGCTACAACGCGGTTCGGTGTTTCCGTCGACGAGAGTCAACGTCAGCATCATAAAAAAATTTACATTATACTTGAACCTCCCGGCCCCCGATAATTACGAAAATTACATGTTACAAAATCTATTACAGAATTACATAATCCTTGAATGTAAAACGACAGCGTCGACCTAAGATGCGATTCAATGCAAATGAGATTTATCATCCGTAAAGTAAAAAATCGGGATCACCGCGGCATTTTTCCGTTTTCATTAAATACACATTACGATAGCTGGTATCATAACAATGGCGCATAATTGCTCAACGTTCTAACAAACGTTGATAATTCCGCGATGACTCGCGTTGCAATATTCATGCCAATAATTATTACGACAAAATATGTAAAGGCGGAGTTTGTGAGCCCCGGTCTGGCCTTTCTCGCATACTACTACTGAATGCGCATTTGCGAAGTGGTCGCAGACAAATGAGCGAGACGTTGGGGCGGCTGCTGCTGCGGCGAGGATAGTTCGACGTTTCCATAGACAAGCAGCCCGAGCTAATTTGCATTGCGGTGGAACGTTTCGTGTTGGAGTTGGCTGCATCCGGGTAGTCATCCACCGGCACTTCATGTCGACTCCCTGAAACGTCGATACACCCGGTACGCGTTGCTCGCGGCGTACGCGAAACTAATAACCGTGCAGAGTGTTTCAAGAGAATGATCTGCTGCTCAGTTACGCGCTTTCTCAGTGCGCTATGTAACGAACAAACAGCGCGAGTGCGTATATCAAAAAGATATTTCGGCCACCATATATATACCCGCCGTATATCTCTTTGGCTCGGCGGGAATTAAACTTTTTGCTACAGATAAAAAGATATCTATATCGTACATCTCTCGCGTTTGAAAAGTTTGGAAGTTTCCAAGTCGGAGGGTCAAAACGCCTGGTCACGATAACGGGAAGTTCAACATAGTCTCGAATTAATTTATCAATTCTCCGTAATCTAGATGGTCACGTTAAGATCGTCACGTTAAGATGATTTTAGCATACTCGAAATTATTGATCGCGAAGCTTCATTCCACAGAGTTATTTTTTGAAAAGTCAATAATCTTGGTGGAAATTGAAAATAGACAAATTCGCCGATTTAATCGCAGAATCCGTCGCAAAAATTTCTCACGTTTACCCCGGGGCTAGCCTGCATTGGTATATACAGAGTGTCTCGCGGAGGGACGGCGAGCTCTTTATTCTCTTACGGGAGAGTAAATTTAACGCGAGTGCAGACGCGAGCTCGCGCGCGAGACTGTTTCCGAAGACGATTAAACTTCATAAGCGGGCCGTTCCTTACGTCTCTGTCGGGCAGGCGACAAATCCTCGGATTAAATCAAACGCGATTCGCGTCTCGCGCAGTCCAGAGAGAGAGAGGAAAATCCAATCTGGGAAGCGGAAAAGGCGAGATTCTGAAGCGGAGGTACCAAGGCCTCTAATGGAAAACGAATCACTCGGAAAACTTTCGGTACGCGCGCGGGGCCGTCGAACAGGACGGGCGTGCCTGCGCGAGGAAGTTCGCCGTTTATTCGCCGAGCTATAATTTATTGCGGGGGCAGTTGGTGAATTCGAGGCAAATTTTTCGACGAGGGCGGGGGAGAAGAAGGCAACGAGAGATTTTCGCGTTTATGCCACACACGTGGCAACCTGAAAAGCAGCGTAGTAGCGATCGAAATACGACTACAATGCGTCACGTTTCGTCGTCGTCATCGTCGTCCTCCCTTCCCCGAGTGAGTCGACACGAGATCTCGCGCGATGGATGGCGGGGGAACACAATGGCTCCATTATGACGCGAGGAAAACGAATTTGGAAAAGTTTCTATGATGCATCAGGTGCTTGACTTCTCGGTGGCTTCGGGAACGAAATTGCACAAACGGTTGAATTTGCTCCGCGAAAATTCGTCCGTTTTGCGCGATAAACTCATAAGAGCTTTATTTGAGAGAAAAATGTTTATAACTCGATTCAAAAATGATGACTCGTAAAATTAATGACTTAGACAGCTAAAATTGACTTTTCTATTATGGCTCCAGCTGCTTTATAAAGCAAACATATAGGTTCAGTTTTAAATCTAATCCTTTCAATAATTTTTCTACATAGATAGAAAGACAGATTTATCTTCAATGAAATATTTCCAGTTATTGAAGATTCCCATATTCACATCAGTAATGCCAATTTATTTACATCCATGCTGTTGCATGTCAAATCGCCTTCGCCATTTCAAAACACGATAATTTAATCAGCCTAAGACGTGTTTTCGGATTAAAAGTTTATGAGCGAACGAACTACAGGGTTTTAGTTCAAGGAATAACGCGGTGTGCAGCTGGCGCAAAACGAAAGATGCTAGCTGCAAGATGAGTGATATAAAAAAGCCATCTTTGGAAAAAAATGCGAGTACGCGCAGTTTTATCTCCGCTATTCTCTATACACATTACGTGCCTATCTGCGTTACTGGTGTTTCGTAATATCACTATTTATCCGGGAACGACGAGAATATTCCTGATGTGTGTATGTACGCGGATTCTCAAATCGCTCCCCCAGACTCTAATTAATTCGAATAATGACTGCTAAACTGACGTAACGCGAGGCACTTTCACGTGCGTTTTATCTGTCGTTCGATACACGTGACTCGTGTGAATAAAAGAAAAAGTTTGCCCTGTCATATTTGTTACTTTCTATCTAAGCACACCGCTTTACTCAAGATTGATAATTATTATACAATTAAAAATAAAATATTTCTAATCGTTCCGAGAAGAAAAAAAGAATAAAAAATGACATTAAATTCTTGTAAAAGTTATCAGGAAAGATATCTTGAAATAAAAAACAAGATGCACGAAGGCAGAAAATATTTCTATAGGAACCCTGAATGTAGATAACGTTACGAGATGATCAATGAGTAAATCGAAAGACATTAAGTTTCATTTTTTCAATTTTTCACTGAGAGTACGACAATCGAGACGACAATCGTCGTTATCCGGGAAATGTGTGTAGTCCGGACTCACGCGTGATATTTCGCTCTCGTGTAAGTCAGGCGACTAGCTTGTAATTACACTCACCGCTCTCCGCGGACGGGTAAATGTTGAAAGCCGAATCCTTCAGCCAGGATGTGACCGCGACGTATTCCTTGACGAAGGCCGGTATCTCGCACCTGAGCACCCCTGTGTTACCCGCCAGGACGTAGGCGTCCCGCACTTGTACCTCGTACTTCTGGCGTACCACTGAAAGAAGAAAAGTTACAGCCGCTTGAGCGTGGAAATAAATGCCGGGTGGAGAAGAGGGAAATGGAAAGGAGAGCGAGGGACGCGGATCGCCCATATCGTTCTCAGCGACAAAGACTCCCGGGACAATGAAAAAATATAGAGAAAGAGAGAGAGGAAGGGGATGAAAAGGAACGGGAGGGAAAAGGTTATATCGTCGTGAAACAGGATGTCGTATTCGCGAGAATAATACCGGCGGAAAAATGGAAAAGAACGGTCCCGGAGAAAGAGAGCCTTCTCCCATCGACGCGCACCAACATTGCGACGTTTCATTTCATTCGGGATTCATCGTTTCAATCCTGACAATTTTGGGCGATACCGGGCAGATTCTCGGTCTGCAGGATTCCACGACGAAATTTGCTCTTCATCGTGACGGATCTCATCGCGTCGCACGATCGCGATGCACGTTAATCTCCCCCGTAGAGGCGAAGACGAAGATGAGAAAGCAGAGGCTCGGATATGACGGTTTAAGGAGCGATGGTAGGAGTGGTATATGTCGCGCGACGATATATCGGAGCTGTTCTATAAGCATGCAATGTCGGATTCGAGTGATGAATATTCCTCTTCCGGCGAGCTTCCGGGATCGGAAGACGACCGTTCCCGCTGTCCGCATGATTAATAATACCGCCCCTGTTTCGCGCGACAAGCGTATTTCTTCGACAAAGCTAGAATCGATTTTTTCCTCGGCAAAATTTCCAGAATTGCCGACAAATTGCAAATTTAAAGACAAATTAAATAAACAAGAAGCTTTTATTATAAATGAATAATACTGGATCCGAGACTATATATTTAAATAATGTACTTGCATTTTTTAATAGTAAAAATAAATTATTCTTAAACAGATGCAATTAATAGTCCAAATTCGACTGTAAGAGTGTTCAGATAACGAAAATATTTAATCGGGATAATTCAAGATTCTTTCATCACTGATATCATTATTTATGAAAGTTTTTTACCCAATAATAGACAAATGTAATTTTTGCTAGAGACGTGTAAAGTGAGTCCACACCGTCCACACCATCATTCATATTTATTCTATTTATTACCAAGCAAGTTTTCAGTATTCCATCATTAAAACAACATTCTTAAAAAAGACCAGCGAGACATATTAACGCTGAAAAACGCGTTATTACCGTTGCAGCCCGGCACTTCGTTTTCCTGCCGACCTCATTGTTCCCGCGTGCGAATACCGGCTTTTCAGAGACAGGCAGTTTCGGTAATTAGCGCTCTGCCTTGAAAACTTTTGCGATATCTTCGTGACTTCCGTGCCGCCCATCCTTTCAACGGATAATCCACCCCCTTCAATTTTCTCGTCCCGGCGGAATTTTCTCCCGACAGATGGAAAATTTCCGATTCGCAACCCGCTAAATGCGATAAGCGATCCTTAGCGGGACATTCGCTTGGTGTGACTCTTAACAGCGAAGGAAAAAGAAGAAATCGCGCGATCGTTTGTCACGCCCGGTCGTATATTGAGCGGCCGAGAAAACGTGTCGATCGGTCGATACATTCCTCGTAAAATTTACTGATCTTTCATCCGCGAAATTCGTTCGGCGATATCTCAGCGCGGATTTTCTCCAGCCAGAGGGAGTTCTCGTTTCGTGTCCGACCGAAATATACGGCGGTCTGTTTCTACTTACGCTCGGTGATAAATTTCGCGCGGCTAATTAAGAAGAATTGCGCTGTGAAACTATCAAAAACCGCATCGTGGCTGGTGAAATATTATACACGCAGTTATAAAAATTACAAATGTGCGTCCCATTAAGTGCAATTAACGGCGGGAAATTACGAATTTTTATGCGCGTTTATGAAGAAAGAGAAAAAGCTCGTGTTTCTCATCTCGTTAATTAACACCATAAAATTATAATAACTGTTAACTGTTTTAACGTATTAGTGCATTTTTGCACTTCCTTCCTGAGCTGCAGCTGCTATTTCTCACGTCATTTTCGGAGCAATCTGGTACACGTGCATAAATGCATCTTACGTACTTTGGCGGCAAGTTCGCGAGTCTTGATCTTGGCGCAGGTTGTTAGCTATAAGCGAGAGCGTGGGTTTAGTGTCATCCATTTACCACGGCGGCGCGGCGACGGGGCAGATGGGGGGGAAAAGCGAGTGGAAAAGAGGAGGACCCCCGCTCGCGATAAATGTAGTTGGCTTGGCTCTGCCCGAGCGCACGATCATTCTTACCGCCCTCCGGGCGTCCGAAGTCGTGGATTTAAAACGTCATTCCGCGGAGAACGGTCGATTACATTTAGCTCGACGGAGGAGGCGGGAACCTCAGGGAGAGACGGCGCACGATCTGATAATGCCCCAAGACTGTTGATTTTTCCGCCGGCCTGTACCTCTCGTGAGGCATTCGAAACGCGCAAAATTGATCGTCCCAGCCCTTCAACTTCGCAACGAATTACCACTCCACTCCGGGTACCACACGGGGGGTATTGACGTTAAATACATCCGAGAAGTAAGCGCTCAACGAGATTTTTCAGATAACGAATTTTTACGACGGCGAAACGCGCCAATCAATTGTTGTTGTGCTTGAAAATTGCGCAAATTTCGGTCGACGTTGAGAGAATTTAAACGGTACGTGATATTTCAACGATAGTTTCGACCGAAGTTCGATATTTCCTAAGGCTACAATCTACATCGCATCAATATGGATGCGAATATGAGCAGTCTGGACTCGCGGCATATATGAATTGTTAATTTAATGCATTAGGTATTATTATTATTAGGAATAGAATTTTACGGACGATTCGAGATTCCGGCAGAGTGGCCAGTTTAGCGTCCGGTGCGGCAGATGCGGATGCGTCGCAGAAAAAAAAACATCCGGACATTGGCGCAAACGTCTTGAAACGCGAACAACTCTCGCGAGATTTACCACTGAAGAGAATCTAGGATTTTCAAATTGCGGCATGTTTATGGCGCGTGAAACTTCGGTGCTTCCGAGAAGTTATGTCTTCGTCGCAACTTTTCAGGGAACTCGCGTGTAATTTTAACACGTCCGAGGGTCCCTATGGATATCGCTAGTTTCACCACCTTATTTGACACAAGCCGAGCTTTCACGCGTATTGAAGCGGCGGTGCGAAAACAATCGCGTAATTGTTCCAATATTCATTCTGTCGTATCTAGACATAAGTTTCATTGTTAACAAATTTATTAAAAATTCACAATCGAGAAACAATTAAAGTCAAGTAAAAATTAGTAGCGTATTAAAATCTGAACTACCTATTGAAAAACGAGCTAAATTTGGCCATGTATCTAATGTTATCAAAGCCAGTTTGTAAATACACGATGATCGGAGTTAGCGATTTTTGACTTGAGAAACTCAAGGTCGCACGTGAAGCTCGTAAAGTTGCATGTCACGCCATCGTCGCGCGTGATAGTCTGTCTCGTCTTTTTTCCGCTCGCCGCTACGTACCGTACGTACGGCGAGCGGGCTTTAAGGGACGGTGAAGGATCAATCGGGCGGAAGAGAGCGAAAGACCGAGGGTATTACGGCGAGACGGGATCGAGGGAGTCGGCGAGAAATAAAGGAGGCGCTTTCTCTCTTACCGGCCTTCACCGTGATTTCACGGCCGAGCACCTTGCCGACGCTATTCGACGCCTGGCAACGATAGACGGCCGAGTGCACGTCGTGCCGGTAGCTCTCCGCGCCGAACGGCAGGAAGTACATGGAGCCATTCACCAGCATCTCACGGATGTTCGGTATCGGCAGGACCGGCGAGCCGTCGCCCATCAGCCAGTCGATCCTCGGCGAGGGACTGCCGTGGGCCGAGCAGTGGATCATCGCCCCGGTGTCGTTCGAGAACTCCACGCTCGAGCGCGGCTCCGAGACCAGCACCGGCCCTTGGCTGTCCAGCACCACTCCTCGTCCTGCAACGAGAAAAAGCGAAACGTGTCAGAGAAAAGCAGGTCTTTTGTGCAAAACGAAACGTAAATAAAGTATGAATAGAATGTCGACGCAGTCAAATTTAATTTTAATTCTATGCTAAATTTTGAATGGTTTCTATCGAGACACCGAAAACTTTTGAGTTACAAAGAGGCAGATGATTTTTGTAAATTGAGTGAAATATTAAATTGGCGCGAAATGTTTGTCATGCTTGTCGGATAAAGTTGAAAATAGAATTTCAGTAGAATTGAAGCAAAATTGCTTCGGTGTATTCTTTCTTCCCCCGTCTAGAGAGAAAATGTTCAATTCCTTTTCAAAGAACTTTAGTTTTCTGGCTTTATTTAATACAAATAGACTTTAACAAAAGTGAAAAAGCGAAAACATTTCACAACAATCTAATATACATGAAAGCACTTATTTTTAACCCTTCGTCTGTATACGTGAGTCTATGGCATCTGACCCAAAATAATATATCTGCTCGTAACCGTGAAACTTGCAAGCTTGCCAGAAAATATTAAATGAATGATGCTTGAAAAAATGACTATAAAATCGTCAACTACAATGCAGACAGGTTAAATCTCGTGAATTTTTTCAAAATTTTTAAAATATTTTAAGGTAGAGAAAAATAGCGTCGAACCTGTAAAAAAAACATACAGACGAAGGGTTAAATTCGTGCGGACTTTACTTCTTCAAAACTTCAATCTGTCACTTAAAGACTAGGGTACATTTACTGCTTTGAACTTTTCAAGTTTGCCGTCTACTAGGTACTTCCAATTGCAAAATTTACTTTCGCGGAGGAATGCGCATCTAAATCTTTCTCTCTGCGGGAATAATCCCGCATAGTTTTCAGAACAGTAGCAAAAGCGCATCGCGACGCGTAGCCGGGGAGAAACAATTTCCCATAAATCTCTGCCAATTTTTACCCTGGCTAAGAAGACGAGAAATGTTCCGCCACGAAGTCGAGGTACGACATTCAGGATGTATTCAGAGTAAGAAGTTTAGATAGTAAAATACGCAAAAGGGGCATGCGATACGCGACACAGAAAATGCGATGCGTAGCATACGCGGGCATTACGGTGGAAAATGCATCGAGACGATGCTACACGATTTTAAAAAGCGTACCGTTCGAGGAAACCATCCATCCGAGACACAGCAATAATGTCGATTCGGTCGTTCTCCGTCTGCATCGAATATCGAATCACGCACATTTGATAGGACAATCTGAATGTAGCCCCCCCCCCCTCTCCGTGCTCGACACAAGAAATATTACCGCATGAAAAATCCACAAATGGTTGTCTGAGAAAGTTATTTAATTTCTATTTTTAGACGCAAACATTATTCTTTCCTAATAGAAGTCTATTTCAATTAAATTATTATAAAAACATAAACGGACAAGTATTAAAAATTTAAATAAAAGTATTAAAAGTAACGTTCCGGAAAAATCTATTTTCAGAATTTCAGAATTGTTCGACGTATCGGCAAGTAGGAAATAAGATTGCGGCTCAATTATAAAAGGGCATCGATTCTTTCGAGAGGCGAGGTGATATCGGTGCGATAAAAAGAGGAAAAGGACAAAATTATCCGATTTTCATATTATGTTAAAAGGCACAGGAGTGGCGGGTTCTTCGAATCCCGGACGGAAAGATTCCTCTCTCGGGTATCGAGAATAAAAATGCCGTGGAAGAGGGATCTAACGGATTGATCGCTCCAGTTACGGCTACGGATTCGAGCAAGCCGTCTTTTCATCGGCAATAAAACGTATATCGCGCTCGACGGCGCGCACACCCACCGCGTGTCCTCTTTCGCTCTTTCACTTCCAAGCTTCGGTTTCCTGCCCTGTCGCTGTCGAACGAGAGCGTATCCGGTTGGAAAATAACATAACGAGGTTATTAACCCGCCGCGACACGATCCGCAGTACCAACAAATGTGAACGCGCATGTGAACCAAATTAGACACGTTACTTAAATTTTTATGAATCAAATGAGAGAAATCCGTGATACTGAAGAACGTAACTGTGGGAAGCTCCTCACATTTTCTATGAATATTTTATTGTTCAGGGAATAATCGATATTGTGGCGTTAATAAATTAAGGTAGAAATTTTACTTTAACATTTGCAAAGTAATACCAATGAAATCAATTATTCTTATTCTCTTAAATGTATGCTGACGGACTGTAAATGCTGTCAAGAATAAAAGTTACGTTTATAATATAATTACAATAATTAAGGCTCCTGGGCTCTTTCCCGACATCTCATGAGATGTAACGTCAGAAGCGAGAAATGTTGAGAATTGACACGTTGAGAATTCTTGCGTAGTATTTTCGAATAAAAAGATATTTGCTTAAAATAACCCTACAGATCACACACTCCGAAAATTATACTCCGAGTTGAAATTAAGTCTACCCCTTTCCCTTGACAGTTAATAAACAGCCGTAAAATAAATGTTACGATAACGTTTTATCATCCCGAGAATCGTATTGATTTTAATCATTTATCATAAATATACGCGCAGAAGAGAATTCGATTAAATTGTTGCTCAATCTGCCGTTCCTCCCAGCAAAAGGAACGGTAAAATGCGCGTGCACGCGTACACGTGTTTGACAACCGGGCGTATTCTACTTCGTCTCGCACGATCGCTGAATTTTCCAATTCCTCCCCTCTTCACCCCCATTGCCCGCTCGCTCTCGACAGAGGAAATCTGATAGAGGATCTCCGCCGCAGCTGATGCCAGCACTTTCGCAGCTTTATCCCCCGGAACTCCGGAACCTTGTTTTCTGGCGATCGACGAAGACTGTGCTCGAGGGGTGGGGGAAGGGGGATCAAACGAGATAGAGGCCGCGAGAGAGAGAGAGGGAAAGAGAGTGCAAGAGGTACCTGCAGAGATCGGTGCATTATGCATGAACGGTAGTTTGATAACCTGGACGCGTCGTTTTGCCCAGAGAGAACGTTGGGCGAGAACGTCGCGATACATGGCGCGCAGCATCCTGATACAGTATACCTCACGTATACGCGTACACGTGTACACGCACTCATACAGGCAGGACCGAACGACGTTTATGCACGGCGCTTCCTGCGTTCTATGGCCCCGATGCACCTGCGTCACCCCGGCTTATAGCTATGCACCGGCACATCGTCTCTATGTCGCGTTTATACACGCGCCATCTCGCAACCCCCGTCTCTTTCTCTCTCCCTCTTTCTCTCTCTCTCTTCTCGGGTGCCACCCTTGTCTTCCCTGCACCCCTGCAACGATACCGGATGACGCCCGTCTCTCCGGCGCGAGTGACTTCCTACTATACGCGTAGCGAGCGATAGTCGCGGAAAACTCGGTGGTCTGCGGTCGATATTAACGAACTTTCGCTTCGTTAGCGGGGAATTTGCTAGTGGGAATCGTTAGTCGTGCGCCACGCTAACTCAACTTTGCTAAAAACGCGTATTCACACCTGGACGTTGCACGCGGTCGCAGTTTCGAGGAATTATTTGAAAGGTGTATAAGCTCCTGTATAAGTTGCATTGCATGCTGAAGCAGAAGAACTTCATTACGCGTCTTGCCACTTCACTCGATCCATTGCAATTAAACGAATGAAAAATAACCGTGCAATTTTGAAAACGTATAATTATGAATTTTTAAATAGAAATTGTTATTAATAGCTTCACGTGGCTTGATATTAATTTTAATTTATTATAATTTTATTTTACTGTGTTACTATAATTAATTAATAAATAATCAATGCTGTAAGCGTGCTTCAAATTACGTTAAAAAAAAATGTAAAGAAAGTACGAAATTACTAAGAAAAGTGTTAACATTTCTTTTTCTTATTCAGGAAGGTACCATCTTGTACCATCTTGTATCACCTGACATACGTGCGCATGTCATGTGAAACAGCTCGGAAGAACACTCCGAGAAAGCGCATAACTTCCTTCTGCTGGCAAACATCAAAGAACTCCGCCGCGAGCACGGAAATATGATATAATCTGACTGACGTAACGTTTGCGCAACTAAATATCCGGAGTACAAACATTTCCCTCCCATTGTCCTCGGCGACATTTTTGTAAGCGGCGACGGGGTAACCCGCGACAGGGCAATATTTGCCAAGTTTAACCGTGTCTCTATTCCCTTTCCGCGAGTCACCTGAAACGTTCGTATGCTGTAATTCGAGCGCGCGCCATTCCGCGCTTGCAGCATTGACCATCTTGGATCTCTCGATGTCGCGCGCCTGAGAGGCACGTATTTCTCGAATACATTCAGCGTGTACGGTGTATATTGCGCAGCACATTTGCGTATGTCTCGCGACGTCTGCGACGAAGGAGAGACGCGATTCACTCGATCATAATGAATTCCGTCTCCGCACTCCGGTGAAAATTGCGATCGGCACGAGGCGCGTTCTCCGACACGAATAAAAATCCAATTAAGCCGGCGGATTAAACCGCGGCATCTGCGGCCCCCTGTAATCGTTCGATTGCACTCCTCTTTCTGCGTACGTGTATCTTGCAATCGATATATATCTTATGACAAATCCGCAAATTATCTTATTTTTTCTAAATATTCTAAATATAAGTGTGATATACATATAAATGCGTTTTCTTATAATAGTTCTTTGGTCTTAACGTTGAACTCAACATAAAGCCTAGTTGCAATAGCCTATTGCATAATTCTTAAAACATTCAAATTTGTACGCGATTGTAATCAACAAGCATATGACAATATATGTAAATAAAACCTCTATGAATTCCTCCAAGTAATAAAAATTCGTTGATCCGCGTTAGATCAGCCGATTAGATAAAATTGGGGATAAAATCCTTGATCTTCGCTCATTTGCGAGAATATTTTGGACCGCAAAGGGTTAAAATTTCTCGAGAGTTTATGTATACACAAAGTCATTTTCGCGATCACGTTATTTTGGAAGGTCAGCTAGGCCGGAGCGAGCGAACAATGCAGTTTGGAAATGAAATATTTTCGTCACTGTCCGCGCATTAGATGCGCATTG